AGTATATATGAGTTTCAAAGGGAAAATTGAAGACAGTTAATAAATTTTGATGAACAAATTTATTTGATCTTGTTGTTTTAGAGTTTTCTTTATTTTTTATTTTTAAAAATTACTATTCATAAAGAAATATATAAAAATTGATTCTGAAAAAATTAATTTCTATTATTATTTCTCTTATATAATTGTGATATTAACAAAAACAATTTAAATATTACAGTTTAACAAAATTTCTAAATTATAATGGTCAAATTTAATATAGTATCATTATTGTATATTTTGTAGTATGTACAAATGAATTTGTTTTGTGTTCAGAAGATTATATTATACTCCTATGCCGCTTAAACTTTACTTATATGAGATCTATATAATATACAAAAATGGTGTGGACAAAATTATTTTTAGATTCAGATTTTTTTCTTGATGAAAGAGCTATAGTTTAGTCTTTTTATAAAAAATGAAAAATAAAATAGATTGCTATCAATACCATCATAATGATCAATACTTACTTGTCGAGGACATACAATTTTACAATACTATTATATTCCCATTTTAGCCATCTATTTCTAATTTATTGTTGAATTAGAATTTTTCATTTATCTACGTTTGCTTTTTACATGTATCATTACATCATGTTATGATACATAACTTTTTGTTTCATAACAAACGTGTAATATTGTATTACACATTACTAATACGCTGCAATTTATATTTTCTCAACAAGAAAATAAATATAAAATAAAATAAATAAAACGTATAACTTAGAAATAGTAAAGTACAAACAAGTATATCAAGTTGAAAGCTTTTCATATAATATTCATTTTTAATTAATTATTATGCTTATAAGAGTAAATGTTTCTATTTTTTATACTCGCTAAATTTTGTATTATTGCATAAAGTTGCATAACGATAATAGTTAGTTCTATCAACAACACTGATTTTACATACTATGTTGTATGCACAACATATTACGTATATACATGTTTTTATCTATAATGGAGCATTTGTTTCCGTAGTTGGAGTGATAACTGTGTTTAGATACAAAATAGTATTTAAAAAAAGAATAAAAAAGAAGAAACCATTTAAATGTTCAGTAATTCATTTACTAAACGATTCATGTGCAGCATCTATATATTACAGATTTTGTACGATACTATGATGGTTCTCTATCTTAGATATTTATTGTAAAATTATAAATAATTGTTCATAATACAATTCGTTATGTTTTAAAACACATTTTATAACTGGATCTTTTCGACTTTCACTAATATACCCTATTAATATTGATAAATTTACAAAAATTACTTTCAACACGTTTTAATAATTATAAATTTATTTACTACACAGAAATTATGAAGATTGACTGTTTTTTCTGCCATAAAACATTTATTAAAATCATTTTAAACAAACATTTTATCATCAGAAAAAGATGTTTCTTTAATTATAGTAATCTCATTCGTATAAACAATAACAGAACAAATAAAATATCATCTAAAAAGTTATATAAGAATTATAAATATATTTAAGAAAGTTTTTTTTATAATTTCACTCTTGTTATACTTTTTATCAACAAATGTTACTTTTTTTATGATGTACACTACATTGATAAATGAAATTATTTCTTTGCCAATCAATCTAAAATATACAGGCAATATTAATGTGCATAGTAAATATTATACAAGTATATAATTTCAACTTACGGTATTTTTTGTTATTGTTCTGTTAGCAGATATCGATGTTACATTTCTATTCGCATATTTTTTCTCATTATTATTCAATCTAACATTTAAACATACATTATATTTACATAGTGATAATTACACCAAATACTTAATAAAAGTGCATTATTACAATAAGTAATATTATTCATAAATGCAAAGCATACCTTGAATTTAAGATATTTTTGTATTTATTTGTATGAGAAGTTGGATCAAAAAATATCGTTTCTTCCCAAGCAATATTACGAAAGAAGTTTTTTACTTTACTCTTATTTTCATCCTTATTATGTAATGAATGTTTCTGTAGATTCATCAATGTCTTAGAAGAATCATGATTTTTAAGCTTTAAATTATGGTTTTTTAGAATTCGTAATTTGTCTTCTTGTAGTTTTGTCTGTTTATGTTGTATTTCCGTAGATGCATCTTCTATATTAGATATAAATTTATTTAGACATAAAAAAAATCAGTATATTCGTCTAATTTTTATCATTTTTTTCCAAAATCTATAATGTTCAAACATACCTTTTTTATTGTTTTCACATATATTCGTTAATTTATCTAATGTTTCACGTAAGTCTTCTTTATTATTAACATTTATTATTGTTTTTTGATTGATGTTATCATTATTTATGTCCAATTTATTCATCAATGAGTAGATTCGATTGTGAACATTTCTTAATTCTTTAATACTTAATGACTATAATTATCGTATATTTTGTTATATTATTTAGAGTAGAAATATATAAAAATTAGGATACTAGAAATGTTTATATATTATAATATGAATTATACCTGCAACCAACTCTCGGAATCAAAAATTATTTTTTCATCATTAATTTCTTCAAAATTCATTTTTAAATGTTCTATATTTTCTTCATGTTTTTTATGAAGTGCACTTATGCTGCTATCGTATTTCTTCTTTAATATTGTCAATTTATCTTCATAATTTCCCTTGTGAAACTATTTAGTTTGCATAAATACATAAAAAAAATTTAATTAAAATTACATGTATATATGATTATAATGATAATATAAACAACAAACCATAAGTTGTTTACAAAGACTATCATTTTCTTCGGATAAATCGTTTACACGATTTCTTAAATTTTCTATTTCTAAATTTTTGTTTTCAACTTCATGAATTAAATTCTGTATCTTTAAGAGCTTCTCTGTATTATCTTTCTCTATTTCTTTTGATTTATAATTTTTATCTATTATATTTTTTGTTGAAAAAATATATATTATAAATATTTATTGAAACAGTGTTAAAACTGTATTAAAAAAAGAAATAATACTGACCTATAGAATCATTATTCAAATTTTCATTTGAATCATGTTTTATATTCGTGTTAGCATTATCGTATATATTTGATTTGTTTTTAAGATTCATTATTTTGTTGTATAATTCATTGGAAAGACAGTGTAATTTGTGTTTCAAATCGTCATAGGTAACAATTTCTTCTGTCAAATTTGCTGATAATTTTTCTTTTAAAATTTCAATATGTTTCTTTATATTTTGATTTTCTTTCGTAAAAATAGCCAATCTCTTTTCATTTTCTTTATTACTATTTTCATAATTTAATAGTTCCAATTTATACTTCGATGATTTTGATTCTAATCTTGTTTTATTATTTTCGGCTTTAGAAACATAATTGCGAAGTATGTCTAACGTTTCCATTTCATTATTTTGTTCATGTAATTCTTTTATTGTCTTATTTAATGATAAAATTTTATTTTCTGCATATTTTAACTTTTCGTTTATGGATAAGTTTTCACTTTCTAAATTATTAATTATATTTTCTCTTTTTGCAAGCAGTGTGTTGTATTCAAGAAGCGTTGATGCAAAGTTATGTTTATCATCCTCTTGTTTATCTTTTAAGTCTTTTATTAATTTATTATTTCCCCAAATGATTTCATTAGCATCATCAAGTTTTTTTCGCAGATTAGTATTTTCTTCTTGCAATAAGTGCAATCTATAAAAAAAATAAAATTAATATATACATATATACAAGATAAAAAATAAAAGAAATAATTAAAATATTTCATATTAACTTTGTTTTTAACTGTTCAATTTCTATTTTTATATTATTTGTAATTTTAATATTTTCATCTAAATTTTGTAATTGCCTAACATATTGATTTATTTCTTCACATTTTTCTTTCAATTCGTCATTTCTTGTATTACATTCTTTTAATAATGAATTTTTAATATCTATAAGATTCTTGTTTGCTAATTTTAATTCATTACATTCTGTAATATACGCTGATAATGTAACATTATTTGATTTATGTGTATCTTGCAATTGTTTAATTAGTTGATTTTTTTGATTAAGTTCGACATCAAGTGCTCTGAAATTTTCTTTAATCATATCCCATTCTGATTTCTCCGGTCTCACGCAATCACCTTCACCCATTCGAATTTTTTCTATTAATTGATCTATTTTATTATCTTTTTCTGTTATTAATTTTTCTTTCTCTGCTATTTTTGTTACCATTTTCATATGCTCATCTCCAACACCTTGTTAATTAATTAAGTACAAATATATATACGTTAAATATTATTTTATATAGAAATTGTTTACCTTTAAGAGCTTTAGATAGTTCATTCAATTTATTAATAGAACATTTAAATTGAGTTGTAAAAATCTTGTCGATGTATTCATCATTTAGATCTAACAATTTATTTTTAATTAAAGTTTCTTGTGATTCTTTGTTTGAAGATGTTACACATGGCTTACATTTTTCATAATATTGTCTATATTTATTATATAATTCATAAATTTCTTGTCTTTTAATGTTTATATCTATAGGGTTTTAATTATATAATAAGTTATAAAATAATTAAGTTAAAAGATAAAAGAAATTTACCTGGAGACCACACGATTACTGATTTATTATCGATTAAAACCTTATAGAGATCATGGATTTGTTTAATTAAAGATGGTCGTTCTCTTTCAGCATATACTTGTAATTGCTTCATAAGAAATTGCATTTTTATAAGTGATCTTGATACTTCTTCAACTACCATATTTTCAATATTTGTATTATCATTAATAGTTAATATTGATACTTCAGTCTATAATGAAATATTATTCAAGATATATTACAGGATACATTGAAAGATATATATATATATATATTTTTGGTATAATTAAAAAATAAATTATAATTATAAGAAAGTAAATTACTTTTGCTGAATTCCATGAGTCTGGTTCAGATGTATCTTTATTTGAATGATTTTCAAAATCTGTGTACTCATGCATTACTGCATTATTAATCGTTTCAGTATTAGCCCAACTGAATTGTATATTTTCTAATAGATTTTTTTGTGATGTCTGTGTTCGCTTGAGCATCATTGCATTGGATTCATCAACTGTTAAATGAAAGATATACATATTTTTATTTTTATTTGTTTCGTATTTTAGGGTAATTTATATTGCACAAATACTATATATATATATGTATGTATAGTATTAAATATACCTTCTGAATTAGAATCAGATGAAATGAAATGATAATTTAAATGAGAACTACATATAGATTCCTTAGAATGTTTTTTAACATTTTCTATTTCATGTAAAGATCCTTTATTTTCTAATTTAGATTTTTGTAATTCCTCTATTAAAGCACTTACAATGCATAATTTACGTTTGGTTCGTTCACAAGTATTATGTTCACATTTTACACGACTATAAATATCTTCATATGCGATTTTAAATTCTTCTAAATTATTTAAACTATTTTTTAACTTAATCGTGAAATTATTAATTTCTTTTTCCATGCAATGAAGCTGCTCTTCATATTTAGAAATTGTATTATCTTTTTCTACTACTTCAGTTTGTAACTCTTCTAATACAGTTGTCATTCTATTCTGTTATTAAATAGTCTTATATTACATTATGATTATTACAATAATTAAATATTCAAATAATTGTTTTTCATGTATTAAGGGGCACACCTAGTGTAACTGTCTAAAAAATATAGTATAGACTATCGAAATATGCAAAAAAAATCGATTTTTTTCAAAATTTCACACTAGGTGTGCCCCTTAGCACAAAAAAAAGAACATAGAAAAAAAAGTTTACCTGTTGATCATTATGAGTACTAGACATTTGTTGTATTAATATCAGTAGACGTTTTATTTCATCCTCTTGATCATTAAGTATACATTTTTGTTCTAAATTTTGCTTTTGTATTTCATCCTTCTCACATAAAGCTGTTTTTAATTCGTCAAGAGTAAGTCGATAATTTTCTGCTTCTTTCGAAAGATGTTCCATTTCTTTTACCTTTTTCTAAATGATAATGTGATTATTAGAACGTATAGAATTCTATTTATTTGACAATTTAACGTCTAATATTAATTACCACTAGCGAATCTTTTTCGGCAAGTAAAATAGCAGTGTCTTTAACATGTAATCTTAATTTCTCTATTTCTTGTGATTGTAAAAAAGAGAAATCACACTTTTTAGTCAACTCCATTTTTAATTGCTCCATTATACACGTATTTGTGTATAACTAAAAAATAAATATTTATTTTATAATACAATTTATAATTTTTATAACTATTATTACTTTCTTTCTCAAATCATCCATTTCATTATTTCTCTGTTCATTCAACTTCATAGAACGTTCTTGTAAAATCTACAATATAAAATAATTAGATCACAATCTTAAGGAAAATGTAAATTTGTATAAAGCAGAATGAAATAATTTTACTTTAAGTCCTCTTCTAAGGGTACCCAAAGTTTCATCCTTTTCCTTCAACATAATTTCTAATTCTTCAACTTCAGCTTCTTTTGCCTAAAAAAAAGAATAAGCTTTAAATTACATTTTAATAATATATTAAAGCTATAATTATGATAGTAACAATAACTTACACTAAATTCATTTTTTAATGCAATTATTTCGCTATCCTTTTGAATAATAATCTCTTTATGAGATTTTTCATTAAATTCACTATCAAATTCACTTTCAGTGATACTATTAGATTCAGATTCACTCTCGATCTGATATGATTCTATACAGGAACTTTTTCTTATGTATTTATTTGTGGGAATAGTTATTTTTTCTTTTTCAATTTCATAATTATTTCTATAATCATATTTATACGTAGATATTTGCGATTCAGTCTATATAATGTAATTATTTTAATTACACACACACACATATTATTATTATAAATAAATTGATATATAAAATACACACATACTCTGATCGAAGAAATTTTAGTTTCGCTAGATGTTATATACTCCATTAGACAATCAGTTTGAGTTCCTGTCTCATACATATCCCATATGACTTGCACAGATATATCAGCATATTCTATGCATGCTATTATTAACATATTCAATAATTCTTTATATGAATTATACATATAATTTATTATTTCACACAGACTTACCAACTTGGGTATATTTATCTTCTAAATTTGTAAGAATATCTGTTTCCACATTTAAATGTTTATTTCTTTCAACGTTCCCACTTTTTGAAGAAAAATATATTGATTTTAACTTTGGCAATAAATAAGAAGCTTTGCATGACAGTGAATCTATTTGATTGAACAATGAAAAGCCTCGATAATGTCTATCGTTATATTGAATATTTTGTTCATGATTAAATTGAATAGATAAATATGAATCTAAATGTGGCAAAGAAATAGATTTATCGATAATTTTAAAGCTTTCTTTTAATGATGCTTTTAATATGCTGTTGTCTTTATACTGTTTTTCTTTTTGATAATCTGCGATAATTTGATTATCCTTCAAAAAACATAGAAGAACATATAGTATAAAGTATTGCAGTTTTCTTACAAAAAGTAGTGATATTAAAATAAATTATATTATACATACAAAAGTTTGTAAATGTTTTTCTTGCTCAGTTGTTAATTTAAGAGATTTATATTTTTTTAATTCTTTACGTAGTATTTGTAGTTCATTTTGAGCTTGTGAAGTAAGACCTATGATGTTCTCGACAACTACATTAAATGGTATTATTTTTCCAGACTATAATATAAAGGAAATATTTAAAATATAATAAGAAAATGTATAATTTATGTGTGTAATATTACTAAATAATAAATAAACGAACTCTTTAATAATTTATTTGAATAATAGCTAATGTTGATTATCAATACAAACCAGAGAAGTATGTTCTGCAAGTTCTCGAAAATATCGTGAAGTTTCTAAAGGATTAGAACTCCAAGCTCTAATATCTGAACAAGATTCATACATTTTTAAACGACCTTCTAATCTCTTTTTTGGAACAATATAATCACCATAGGCTAATGGCATATTGTTATTGTGTCTACCAATTAAGAAAACACGAGGTCCATGCTCTACATAAGACATATTTTTTATAATCTATTACCTCTATCATGAATTAATATTTAAAATTTATAATCTTTTTATTGTGTTCTCCATTGACTTCTATAATTATTTAAAGTTAGTTTTTAAAAAGATAGTTAATTCTGATTCATTATGTAAAATTCGTTAAATAAGAATCTAGAAAACGTGATATTGTTTATTTTACGCACCATAGTAACTATATAAAAAAAACATAATCACTGTTTAATTAACGGCGAATAGTAGGATAAATAAAATTAATAAACTTATAGTAAAATATTTTATTATAAGCTGCCATTAAAAATAATTACAATATTATAATTAGTAATAATCATTTAATGCGTTTTGTAAATTAGTTTAATTTTTTTCTTGTTATGAAAAATAATTTTGATAAATGATGATAATATTAGACTTTTATGAAAAATAACAAATGACTAATATGTTTAATGAAAATCTTAATATCTATTTCAGTAATATGGTATCAGAATACTGACTATATTTCAAGTTATATACTCTTCCGCATTTTTAATAATATATATATATATTTATTCTAATTAAGTACAAAAAGTGCTTGCTTTATAAATGATATTACATACAGTATATTTATAGAATAATTCAGCAACGAGATTTCTACATTCATCACGTGCTTCTCATTAATTTTTCTTTCCAATAATATTAAAGAAATAAAATGATTTTACTTTATTGCTTTTTGTTTCCTTTTTTTAATGAAAAATAACTCATTGCATCTATAGACACACTGTATACATTAACGCACAAGATAATTTTTATACAAAATACTATATCCATTCGTGCACCACAATTTTTCACATGATTTTATTTTAAAAGATATTCTTACTTAAATTCAAATTAAGACTATTATAAATGTTATATTAACGTAAATAAAAGTTATATTCTCTGGAGCATGATACATGATATGTTAAACCTTCGACACTATAACAGTAAAAAGAGTATCCATGGCAAAGATATATAAGGAGAACATAATAGTATTTATATAACGATTAATTTTCATTTAATTTTATATTATATTGTAATGCTGTATAAGGAATAAGATAACAAAAAACTAATCGTTTTACAAATATTTCTTATGTTCGCTATATATATCAAATATAGTTTTAATGCGAAAGTTTAAATATAGTAAAGAACAATTGAATAACAAGCACTGAATATAATTTAATTCAATATGATTCATTTCTCTTATTTATATATTTAAACAAAAAAAAGAAAAAAAATATCTGCTTTATCCAGTCTATAGAATACTTTTCTTTTTTTTTTAGTAATGAAATTACGTGCTCAGTTGTACTAAAATATAAGTGGAATGTAATATCTATTCACACTATTATTTTTTAATCGATGAGAAAATAATGGAAGAGCACATGATATTTTCTATGCACAAGTACTTAATTTGCCATGTTTAATAATTTTTATTCCTACTAATTGTATAATACATTATAGCTCATACTTAACTCTCAATTAGATAATAAATAACATTCATAAAAATGGAATTAAAATTCAAAAACTTCAACACTTTCAACATGTTGTAAGAATAAACAGAGTAGATACACGAATAGGCGTGTATTGATATCCCATAATATTCAATATATTCTTGTAAAAAAATGATATTTGGAATGATTTACATGTAAGGCCACTCTGTTACAGTACATCTATCTATCTGATTAAAAATATGCTCTCTCTCTGTGTATGTTCTCTTTTTTTATTATTATTATACTGGTTATTAATCAATTATTTACAATTGTGTTATTATATAAAGACCTCTTTAACGCATAATGATAATTTAAATTATTGAATTTAATTTGTTTGCATTATATACAAGTAAATATTCTTAAAAGGCAAACAAATCATTACAATACAATCAATACCAATATTTATGAGTGTCTTTTTTTTCATTGCATCATCTAAGTTATGATATAAAATATAATTTAGTAAAACTAAGTAGCTCTATAAAAGAAAAGAAATTTTTCTCATATTGATCTACTTCTAAAGTAGTATCAAATGATTAAGTACATTATTTAAGTTCTAATACTTGTATGACTGATTGACATGAATATGAGAGTATGATGGGTGCCATGCATTTAAAATAAATTGCATATTTTGTGTTTTATTCCTCATTATTTTGTAATCCCTTTTAATTAGTTCACGTGTGCAATTAATTGTTTCTAATAAGTATAAACAAATTCTAAGGAACACATAAGAATATATATTCTTGCACTTTCAATGCATTTCTCTTTTTTTAAATATTTTTATATCACAATCTTTTCCTTATTAGTAAATATTTGTGTATGTGTAATTGTATTTTATCTTTTATTAGATATTAGATTAAAATGCAAAAAATCTATTAGTTTCTTAATAGTAATCAGGCACTTTTTTTTAGATTTATGAAGTAATAATAATAGCCGAAAGATAAGTACTTGAATAATATTGCTTTTTAATTGTTTTGTATGTCATGGTAATATTTAATAATAAACTACTCTGTAAGTTCGTATGTACGTATTCATTAATATATATTTATATTCTAATGGATTTTATTAAGTACTAATGCTAATTATAATATTTACTTGCTACGTATCAAAATAAGCAATATATATGTGCTCCTTGCTTAGAATTTATTTTGATTAATTTAAAATAGGAATTTTTACACATCACCTCGATTATTCATATACAATTGAAGTTAAGTTTGTATTAAATTAAGAAAATAGATTTTTTAATTTTTGTTTTTAAAGATACTTGTATGCGTGTGTAAAAAATATCTTAGCTTATTTCTTTAATTTTCAATAACATATCATATGTAAATTTTTATTCGAAACATATTGTCAATAATATTATTTATCTATACTATATTTTTCATTGAACGATTCTTTTTTTATTATCTTTTATGTAATCAAATGAATAATGTATTATTATATAATATAAAGCAATGCATAGATTTAAGAGAGAGAAAGAGAGAGAGAAAGAGAGGACAGAACACAAAATATACAATTCTATTCATGACAGTATGTACCTCAATACTTTCATTTCATGCATGCTAATCTTTAGAAACGTTATAATTGAATTTAAAATTTACCTTTTATCTACAGATGCAAAACACCCTGATCATGATTAAAATGATTTTGGTGATGATGATGTTGATGAAAATGATGATGCTGAGATACAGATGTTGCTGCTTCATCGTGTAGTGTTACACCTGTTAAATCTAAAATTTCATCTGCATCTTCATCGCTACCTGTAGCTGCACTTTGCGTCGACTGATGACTTCCCGATGATAACTGGCTATTACGCGAGAAGGAACCACGCCTAGGTGTAGCAAGAGCGGCTCGTTGGTTGGCAGGTTTAACTGTTATTATGAGGTTTGAAGAATTCGCAATCATCATGTCTGTGACCTAATTAACATAACAATTTATATCATCGTAGGTAATATGTTATACATTTTAAAAATATTTATTAATTATATGATAACATTATAGAATTAACCTGATCAAGAGTTTTTCCAGCAACCTCTATTCCATTAACTTCTAATACTTCATCATTTACTGCTAATAGACCAGTGCTTTCTGCTAAACCACCTGGTACTAATCTACTAATGAAAACACCTGGTACTTTCTCAATTCCACCTCCAGCCGATGGTGGCAATTTTCGAAAACTTTCACCATCTTTAATATAGAAACCTAAGGGCTTATCTGACCCATGTTTTAAAAGTCGAACACGACGACAAGTTTCAGGTAATATATCCACATCGATGATCGCAGATACCTATTATTTATACAACAATATATTATTTTCTAAATTTTATGGTGATTAAAACAGTAATCTTGTCTTTTAAATTTTTATATATTTGTATATTAATATATTTGTAAGATTAAATTTAATTTACCTGCCGAAAATCATGTGGATTTGATATCGCCAAAGACTTTGGTTTTCCAGGAGTACCACCAAGTATACTTGAAATTAAATTTTTTGGTTTCATTGTACCGTATCCATTTATTTCTTCCAATCCATCACCTAGCAAATATATTTTCATTATTTATTGATCAAAGGAAAAAACAAAATTATAAATATTATTATTAAAAATAAACTCACCTTTCCTTTGTATGAATATTCTAAGAAGTGGCTTTGCAGCAAGTAATGCTCTGGCCAAATTGTTGTCATTATTAATTGGCAGTAAATCTCCATCTGTTGGATCCGTATACCAAATAAGAAAGTTTAATTCAGGGCCAATATCGTGACGTTCTGCTAACAATTTTCTAAAATCTTCATAACTGATAGGCTCATTTCTTCTAACTGAAAATCTTATAATGTCAGCATCAAACTATAAAATGATAAAATAATAAATTTATATGATATATATGTATATCCTTTTTGTTTTATATATTTTGTCAGATTACATTCACTTTAAATTTAATAAATATACAATGTTACATGAACCATTGATGACCCACAATAGACTTTCCATTTATTTGAATTTAGTTATTATTCTACATGTATACACCCAATTCTGTTTTTACACGATTTTGATTTAACATGAGGGCTCAAATTCTAAGAAGAAAATTTTGAAAACTGATGTTTTATTGTATTATTTTTGCTGATTTCTCAGGACTAGAACCAATTTTTTATTTTTTCATAGATGCAATATATTTTTTTACACGAATTTTTTTAAACCTATTCTTCGGGAACGTATTTATCATGCAATAAAAGAATTAAGTGCATTTATAAATTTATGAATCATATAAAACAGCTCCATTGTTGATTATATAGATATTTAGAAATCGAATTACCTTACTCTTAACAGCTACAATACAATTGTCAACTTGATGCTGCATTTTGCTTTTTGACATGATCTAAGGCAGTGAGAAGATATACGTAATAATATACGTAGAAATATTTTAAATGTTGATAAATGCTGTAAAAACTTTTGATCTTATGGATCTCGATAGGTCATGAATGTTTGCGTCGAAAAATAACGCCCTCTGCATATTTGCCACACTTATTCGATCCTAAACTAAATAGTGTTAGTAGAGTGGACATGTAAGATTATAACATATATTAAAAAACAAACAAGAACAAAAAATATCATCCCCAAAAAATAAACAATACAATTTAAAAATATAAGCTCAAATATAATTGGTCGAATATATAGAAAAAGATTATATATTATTATCATTTCTTAAATATAAATAAACATTTCAAATATTAATTAAATCATTGAATATAACTGAATAATAATTAAAAGACAAAAAGGAATAATTTGATTGGTCGAACAAGCATCCAATAGTTTCTACTAATGAGAATCGACTTACGATCGCCATGTTTAATCGAGATCCCCCACACATCGCGCGTGGCTTCTGTAGGAAGTGGGAGCTTCTTTCGCCCATCTTACGCGTTTTCCGTTTGGAAAATGGGCACCGGCTGTCATTTGGTAGATAAATTGTGTTTATAGAAAAAACGAAATTAGTTTGAAAGATAATTAATATTTTAAGTTTAATATTGAGCAGTAATGAAATTATATAACGGTATAATAGTTTGATAGAATCGACGCCGAGTAGTGTTGTGTCCTATGTATTGTATTAAGAACGATGCCTTTAACACAGTGCCATGAAAATCTATGTTGCCTCGCTGTTTACACTTTTTATTCTTCATTCAATCTTAAATAAATTCGAGGATTAAACCTTCTATTACGCTATTATTATATATTTATTGGCATTGGGGTGGGGGGTAAGTTAGTTACTGCAGTTGACAGTTTTATCCGTCACGTCGCATCCCACATATCGAGGACTCCCAATCTTTTTACTCCTACACACCACCACTCATATTGAAGCTTGCTGGATTTCTTACGGGCAAGGTGAGGGCCAAACATATATACATATACTTGTAATTCTTACTTACTTTTACACCTAAATAACGCTACACACACACATTACATTAATTTTATTGATATTTCTATCGAAATTTCTTCTTCTTTTTCGTCCTTTTTATACATCTTTCCAAACTTTAATCGTAAACAAATGGCAGTAGAATTTACCCCCTACAATGCATATACGTGTATTCTATATCTGGATATTTAGAATTTATACTCAATGCATTCGTTTTTTTTTTATTATTAGGATTCATAAAAAATTAAAATCTATGGTAGTTAAATATATGATAATGTTAAATGTATTGATAATTCTATTACTTATTATGGATTTTTTTTTAGTATTAGTTGTTGGTGACAATCATTGATTGATTAGTATGATTGTGTATATTTTAAAAGATCAGATAATATATGTGCATATATCTGTGTATATAAATTTGATCAATAAAATTTCGTATAATTAAATTTGTTATATAAAAAGATTCCAATGATAATTATATATGTATTTTAAATCCTTGTTTAACAAGAAATATTTTCTTTTTTTTTTTTATAGATATAACAGAATGGGTTCCAGTCAACAATTTTCTCTTAGGTGGAATAATTATTTAAGACATATTACTTGTGCTTTTGGTACATTAAGGACAGATGAAGATCTCGTTGATGTTACATTAAGTTGCGAGGGCAAGCGGATTAGAGCACACAAAATGCTCTTATCGGCATGTAGCACATATTTCAGAGATCTTTTCAAGGTAATCTTGAGATCATAATTTTATTTGTTATTTATTATTCATTATATATGATCTATTTCTATATAATTTGTTTGTTATGTAACAGGAAAATCCATGTCAACATCCAGTCATAATATTCCGTAATGTAAAATTTGATGACCTAGCAGCCTTGGTAGATTTTATGTATCGAGGCGAAGTTAACGTTGTTCAAGAGCAACTTACTAGCTTTTTAACAACAGCTGAGTTGTTAGCCGTTCAAGGTCTCACCGATGGTACAGGGAAAGATAAAGATGGTTTGGTTGAGGTTAGCATTAATATGACTAATTTACTATTTGCAAAATATATTTATTTTTTATTTTACATAAAAAAGAAATAATCATTTTTGGTTAAGTACTTACATAAATGTTTTTAATTGTATTACAGGATGATTTGGAAATTCCCAACGAACCAGAAATACAACTACAGAATTCTTCTATTAAATCTACAATGGATACCAAAAGAAGTAAATCTCCTTCTTCACCGATGCCATATCATGCAGTCGAATTACAAACCGGATCGCCACCTACAAAGAGACGAAAATGTCGTGATAACACCAGCACTAATGCGGATAAGACAGTTAGCAACACATTATCTGGAAAAGACTCTGACAACAAGATATCAGATAATCAAACATTATCTGGCTCAGATCCTGTTGAAATAATTCCATTAATGCCAAATCTAAAGCTAGAAATGCCTGAATATTTGGAACAAGATGGCAGTAGTTGCAGTTATGAAGAACAAAGCATAGGAGATAGTTCATTGAACAAAATTGGAATTGAAGATACACCATCTAACACACCTGATCATGATCAGAAGCCGGACATTACTCAAACTTTTTATACTAGTACTCATTCTGTTTCTGATAGTTTGGATAGTAAACATCAGTTGGCAGACGTTGGTAAGTATTTTTATTGATATGTATAAATTTTTCTTTTTGCCTTTTAAATTTGAAACAATTGTTATCTTATTTGTTCTGTCATTATGTCTTGTAATAATATGTCATTCTTCTTTTCATTAGGACACCTACTATCAAAGCCCAGTACTTCAGGAGAGAGGTTAGCACAGGAAGCAGTACAGGGTAAGTGATTGTATCTATATTTTCTGGACCATATATTGTCCCTAAAAAGAATGATTTTATTTCACATTAACGTTCTATGAGTCATATGCGAGAATAGTATTTTTATTTCAACATTTTATTTATATTAAATTAATGTTTATAATTTATATACACATATATACTGTTTGTAAATAATGTTTTTTTTTAGGAAATGTATGCAAAATATATGTGTTCCGAGAGTATCCTATTTAATTAAAAAAAATAAATTTCTAATATTATTCACGAAAAGTATTATTAATGAATTATTAGCTAAAAGTAACGTATGACTCATAGGAAAAAGAATGTGTCAGTATCAACGTAGTTGCTCTACCATATTTTTTCTAATAGTTATAAAGCATATTAGATATTCTTTTAGAAACTATAAATATTTTATTTTAACAAATGCTTAATTAAATCTACTTTAATAAGTTAAATAATAATATATATATATGCGATAACTGTTAAATGGTATAGCAACAAAACGTTCAACTTGTACTCGTATATTGCATACATATAATGTAATATTATTCAACACATACATATCGATAATAATGAGATTTTTATTTTATATTAATGTAACATTGCTTGTTTAACCCTTTGAGTGCTGTAAGTGCATATTTGTACTTAGAGTAAGAAGTTTTATATGAGTTATCGGTTATAGCGTATTCAATATCATTCATTTACATATTTCGGTTTTTGATTTTCTTAACAATAGTTTCGGTTAATTTTTTATTTCTGTTAGAAATACATATCTGATTTCACATTGTAATTTGTAGTTCTTGTACCTGCAAATATGGCATCAATAAGAGAAGAACGTATAATTGAAAATAAAAAAATTATCTGGAAATATCAACAGGATAGAACAATATTAGACAGAGGAAGTACAAATTTTGAAAGCACTGAATTTAGATTAACAGGAAGACATTTTCTTTCTGTATACTATAGCAATATAGCAAAATCAAAAAATGCCAGACGAAAATGCGTCGTGTGCGCAAAGAACAAGAAAAGATCGGAAACACGGTATGAGTGTAAAAAATGTAATGTAGGTCTTTGTATCGATAAATGTTTTGAATTATATCATACACAAGAAGAATTCTAATTAAATTTAATAAATAAAATGTATTACAGAAAATCGAAGTACTACACATTTTTATATACTTGATAATATTTAATTCAAATCATTCAATGTTATATTACTTTAGTTACTAATTAATTATTTATAAATATTAATAAATACTCTTGTCAGTTTGAGGAATATTATCAAATTCTAAGTAAATATCTCCTACACCTAGATAATGTCTTATATAGTCATTAGTTTTAGATACTTCTGTTTGAGTTTTTATTAATTATATTGTATCGCACTTAAAGGGTTAAATATTTTTATTATTCGCTTAAAAAACTTAAATGTAATCAATTAAATAAATTTTTGAAATATGAATAAGTATATTGATATGTATCTATTGCGAGTACAAAATATGGTTTTGGATGCCTTAATCCATAAAGTGTTAGTGTTATATTCATAAAGACAATTTTTTTTTATTTACACATAAAAACCATTCTATGGACTAAGGTTACGTGGCAGAAATTAAAAATCAATAGGAAGGGACATAGATTCCTTGTTATTGTGTCGTTAATTAAAATTGAACAAAACAAAGTAGTTTGTTTAATTAAATCCATACATTAAATCGTATAAATAATTGGTAGCCTGTGTAGCTTTGCATTACTTACACACACGCATACACACATGAGTGCTGTAAATTAAGAAATTAATAATTCTATTTCGGGCGATGGCTAAAGACAATAATAAAAAAGTAGTTAATTTAATTAATCATTTATTATTGTCTTCCAAAAATATAAGATAATAATTTAAATGAGCTTAACTCTAACATTTACATTTTGTGGATCTGATCATTTTCATGTATATATAT